CAAAACGCATGGAGTTTATGCAGCGAGTGGGGTCTAATGATGGCATTGATAGCGTGTCAAGCAAATCTTGACCCATTTGACTGAGCTTCGAGATGCGTAAACGGAATTGACATTGAATAACGATGAGTCCGGCATCGGTTGAACATTTAGAAAAATCGAACTACGTATCGCACAGTCCAAATCGGTCAAACAAGTGGAAGTAATCTATGTTTTCCACATGTAGAGTCAGTCTATTCTCCTAGAACCAAGCACTAGACATCCATGCCACTCTCGCTGCTCATACAGCAATTAGTTCGACGATAAGTTTTCAACAGAGCGGAAGTTAGAGTGTTTTGTTCAACAAGGGTGTGGATGCGTGCGTGTGAGTGTGTATGGTGTAGCTATGGGTGTAGGCGTGAGTGTGGGTGTGTGAAGTGTGTGAGTATTGGTGTGAATGTAGGTGACGTGTGGATGGGTGTGGATGTGGGTGATGTGTGAGTGGTGTGGGTGGGTGTGGAGGGTGGGGGTGTGGATGTGGTGTGGGTGGTGTGGGTGTGGGGGTGGGCGGGTGTGGGTGGGGGGGGGGGGGGGTGTGGGTGGGGGTGTGGGTGGGGGTGTGGGTGTGGGTGTGGGTGTGAATGTGGGTGTGGGTGTGGGCGTGGGCGTGGATGTGAGTGTGGGTATGGTTTTAGGTCTTGGCTTCACCGACATCCGCATCCACACCCACACCCACACCCACAACTCACACCTACATCCACACCCACACCCACACTTCACACTCACACCCACACCTCACACCCACACCCACACCCACACCCACACCCACCCACACTTACCCACACCCTAATGAGTGGTTATCCTCAACATTTAATTAAAAGAGGCATAAGAGAAGCAGAAATAATTACTAATAAAATAAAATCTCAAAAAGAACAATTACATAAACTGCAACAAAAGAAAAAATTTATTTTTTACTTTCTTATTATGGTCATTAATCCATAGTATTATACCCAGTGAAAAATATTCACTGATGTCAATTGGATTTTTCTGCAACAAAACCAAAATTAAAATCGATTGATAATATTGATTATCGTTAATCATAACTTAACTATTACTTGATATTATTACTTATCTAGTGGGAAATTTTCTGATTAAAATCGGATTATTTTGCAAGAAAATCAAAATTATTAATCGATTTATAATCTTGATTTTGCTGCAGAATAGTCTGATTTTAATCAGAAAATTTCACACTGGATAAATAATAATATCAAGTAATAGTTAAGTCATGATCAACGATAATCAGACTTATCAATTGATCTTAATTTTGATTGTGTTGCAGAAAAATCCGATCGAAATCATTGAATATTTTTCACTGGGTTAGCTCAGAGAATAAAACGATTATGCAAAAGACTATCGCCATTAATTGAAATTAATGTATGCTTTAGAAAAACATCTACAATTAAAAATGTATTTCTTCCTACTCAGAAAGGACCTGATGAACTAAAAAGAAAAAGAAATTAGTATATAAAATTCCATGTTTAAACTGTGACAAATGTTATATTGGTGAAACTAATAGAGAAAAATGCGAAAACCTCGGATTTAAATCCGAGTGTTATGTGTACTTCAAAAAGTGAACAGGTATATTCACTTTGTTTTTTATCATCTGAGACATATCTAGGCAATTTGCTTTCTGGATGCAGTTCTTGTGCATTTTGAGACCTTTTTCAGGCGATGTTTTGTTAGAAAGCTACGATTTGGTTCAAAACCAATATCAGATTCGAAATCAGCGTTAAAAACTGAGTCGATTTATATATGTTGTGAATAATTCTGAGAAATTCTTTTTTTTTGAAAAATCTCTGTACCCCCTCAGGGATGGTCTGGTCAATAATGACAATTTTTTCGATAACTCAGCCATTTCTTGACGGATCCTTCTCATCTTCGAACTTGACCGAGACATTGATGAGACTGAACTGTGTAGAAAATTTCATCACGATCTGGCTCTCCTTTCGAAAGTTATCGTGTAAGCGGCCGGCCGACCGGCCGGCCGGACGGACACACTGACCGATTCTATAGTGTACTCACTTTTTGAGTACACAAAAAGAAATTAGAATGAAAGAATACAAAGCTGATATTAGAAAATAGACACAATGTTCTAATGTAGCTAAACATGCTAAAGCAAATAAACATTCATTTAATTTTATACAATCCGAAACATTAACTTTAGAAACAAACTGGAGACAAAGAATTGTTAAAGAGAGTCTCTTTACACATCAACTGCAAGGTAAAGCCTTAAAGAACGTAAAATTTAAACTAAATATATTCCTATAAGTTATGCCTTCGGGCAATTTTGGTGACCATGACAAGTTCTACGAACAATATTAATAATTCGAATTATTAATATTGTTTCATCTTTTTCTTTTGTTCTCTTGTTACTTCTAATTAATATTGTAATATTTATATAGAATGTTATGTTGTTTTTTCGATATTCCTGATGATGATAAGAGTTTCTTATCAAAAGCTTGAATAAAATAACTTATGATTTTTGTTTAAAATCTATTATGTACTTTGTAGCAGTTTTATACTCAATATTCTATAAATGATGATGATGATGTAATTTTCAAGCTTGAAAAACAAGAAAAACTTTATCACAGGTCGATCATTCCGACCTCCGGAAGCGGCGTCTTATCTGATCTGAAACAGCTATAAAACGGTGAATTACTGCCTTAATTTTGGTCTTATTTCGCTGTAATCCGTCATACCGTTTTACGAGCCGTTTTTATCGCTAGAAAACGGTCATCGTTTTCCCCCAGTTTTGCTTCTGTAATCTGGTATGACGGATTACGGCGTCGTTTTTCAACGTTTTACATCGTTATTACGCCGTTTAAGGCCATTTACGACGCCATATTATTGGACCTGGGATCTCGATTGGACGTATCGAGAAATGAAACATTTACTTTCACTTCAAAATCTTATTGTGGATCATCCAGTATTTAAAAACAAATCAAATAATCCAAAACCAGCACAACTTCAAAACAATAATAATAACAATGAAGATGATAAAAAATCAGATAAAAAGGTAAGAAGATAATCCGAAAAGTACACATAATATAAATTTTTTTTTTAATAGAATGATAACATTACTGGTATTGGTCATACGATTATTACTTCAAGTGTATCACCAACAACAACAGTAAATGATACAACTGCTGATGACGATAACAATGACGAAGATTAATTGCTGTTGGTCGTGGTTATATTCTTATGTAAATCCATTTTCTTTTTTTATATTTTCTTATAAGTTTAATAGTTTGTTTTTTGAACAAATTTACGTTAATCTATTTGTTTATTTTATTTAATCAAGAAGAAAATTAAATAAAACTAGGTTGTGTATAAAAGATTAATATTTGCTTTTAATTTAATTTGCTAAAAATATCAAAAAGATAACAAATATTTGAATTTTCATAAATTCATTATAATGAATCTACAAAAACAAAGTATCATATGATTTTATTTGCTCAGATAGGATTCAAAACATACTGATAGATATTTATAAACAAGTAAATTTAATAATATTAATTGTAATGCTTTAGAATCCAAAACAAAATTTATTAAAAGTTTTTTATCTTGATAATCAAAATATTTAAATGTAATTCTAATTATATAAATACAGACTAATAATTCCACTTTTTTCGAACAATAAATTGGCTTCTTTAAAACGATTTTCATGAATGTGTGCTTTATTAAATGTTGTATCTACTAAATAATTGGTGATTATTGTATAGAATCTATCAAAATTATATAATATTAATTATATTTCTTTATTTAAATAAATATATAATTAACATAAGAGAGTTTCATTTAAATTGAAAATTTATTTTTCTCAATAATCACAAACAGTATATAATTAAGATCATTAAGAAAAATAATGAAATTAAATTATTTTTGTGTACTCAAAAAGTGAGTACACTCTAGAATCGGTCAGTGTGTCCGTCCGGTCGGCCGCCCGTCCGTCCGTTTGCACGATAACTTTCGAAAGGAGAGTCAGATCATGATGAAATTTTCTACACAGTTTAGTCTTATCAATGTCTCGGTCGAGTTCGAAGATGAGAAGGATCCGCCAAGGAATGGCTGAGTTATCGAAAAAATTGTCATTATTGACCAGACCATCCTTGAGGGGGTACAGGGATTTTTCAAAAAAAAAACTTTTCTCAGAATTATTCACAACATATATAAATCGACTCAGTTTTTAACGCTGATTCCGAATTTGATATTGGTTTTGAACAAAATCATAGCTTTCTAACAAAACATCGCCTGAAAAAGGTCTCAAAATGCAGAAAAACTGCATCCAGAAAGCAAATAGCCTAGATATGTCTCAAATGATAAAAAACAAAGTGAATATACCTGTTCACTTTTTGAAGTACACATAACTCTCGGATTTAAATCCGAAGTTTCCGCATCCATTTTAATATTCTTTCAAAGAGCAATATTTGTTGAATTTTAGTTTAATATTTAATATAATATTTCTATATTTTTCTTTTTTGTATCTTATAACATATCATTGACAGGAAATAGGAAATTCAAAAAAAATATCAAAATAAAACGCTTTTTTTCGAAATTTTCTCTTGATTACCAATAATGTGAACAAATTCATCTAGCAGAGAAGATTTATCAGCAAAAACCAAAAAAAAACTAGAAAGATTTTGTTTTTTGCTCTAAACCAGTCGATTTATTGTGTGAAAACATTTTGTTATTAGATCCGTTTAAAATAAGAACAAAAAAAAGCTCTGGTTCACAAAAAATGTCCTATTCATATTTGTCTTATTTCCTTAAATTGTACATAAATAGGTGTAAATAAAAGCAATATAATGATAAATCTAATCTCTATTGAAGCATACTACACTTGGAAAATTGTTTTTTTATTTAAATGATTTTATTTCATCTAATCAACATGATTTAAATATATATCTAACTTTTACAAATTTTTGTCTGTTATTGATACAATTAATAACAAAAAAAAATAATGATTATAATAAAGGAAAATATTGATGAAAATTTTCTGGAGGAACAAATGGTTCAGAAATTTCAAGACATTTCAATTTGCTACAAGTAAGACGTGCTGCATCATTGGTAAAATTGTTTGTAACTATTGCGAGTGATTCATATCCAATGATAAGATTTAACAAACAAGGTAGATGAGTATTTTTATCGATGAGAAATTGCTCAACATAATCAATATGTGCTACTTCAAGATCGAGAAGAATAACATGACGAAATGTAATCAATGTAGACGAATGTTGTTTATTTTGTTGTCGTTGAGAATTTAATATATATAATTCTTTGAGAAAAGGAAAATCTTGAGAGATTACTTGAAAGAAATTATGTTCAAATGGATATATTAAATCAAGTATCATCAAGCATCGAACTTTATCAAATTTGCCACCTTGAAAAGAATTGTTTAAATAAATAAAGTTTTCAAATTGATATGGAAGTGAATAAACATGGCACGTGCCTACGTCGTTTGTTCCAATAGTTTGAACAATTGAACCAACTTGTCCATATTGTCTTCCAATAAAACTACGTTGAATTTCTTCATTTGATTGAAGATCAGTTTTAATATTTATGTTGAAAACTTCTGTATGAATATTGAAAGTAAATTTGTTTAATTTTTGCATATAAATAAGTATTTGATCGTGTAATTGAATTCCATCAATATAAGATGAGTCAAATTTTTTTACAAATAAAAATAATTTCAATTCTTCCAAATTTATCATTCGATGAAGTAATGGAATAATTAATTTGTTATAAGTCATTGTCTGTCTACAAGAAGCCAATGAAAAAGATTTCAATTTAGGAAGTTGTTTCTATGAAAAAAAAAACAAAAAATTTATAAATGTTCATCTATTCAGTTTTATATTTTTTTTCAAAAAATAAAATATCGAAACTAAACTAACCGTATTCTGTATGTTTGATATTATATATGAAATTTCTACTACATAAATAAACAATGTTAATAAAGAATTTAATCGTTCATCAAGAAGATAAAGACAATCATCAAATGTTTCGACATTAATATTCAATGTAGTTAAAGTTGAAGACATACAACTTGTTGATGATTGTTTGAAAAAATGAATCGCCAAGCATCGATAACGAGGTGATGCACATAAATTTAAATAGATCAATCGTTTACATAATGATAAAATCAAGACAAATATCTTTGGTAAAATTTTAGTCAATGGTGGTTTTCTTGTCTTTATTTCAATATCAATATAGAGATGTGTAATTTGTTCAGAAAGAAGATTATAGAGATTTGAATTACCTTAAATTTAAAAATTAAAAACAAATCTTAATTTATATTTTAATAATTTACCTTTTAAATATTGTAGAAGTATATTTTCTTGAAAATCAACAAGTGATAATGAATAAAGTTGAGGATAATTAAAAGTAAGAAGACGATCGATTGAATGTGAGTCAACAGTAAGTTGATTTACTTGATCATGAATTCGAGGGAAGATATTTTCACAAATTCTTGAAAGAACTTGATTATTGATTGAGAAGATACGATCAAATGCTGATTTTATGGTCATTGTGGTCATATTAAGATGACGAATATAGAGATGATCAAGTATTAATTGATCAAATCGTTCATTAACATCGACAAGTGAATATAGAACATCGACCATATTCAGTTTCTTGCAAATCATAAGTAAAATTTCATTGGGCAAATCAAATATATTGAGATCATTATTATTTGCAATATTCATGTTTAATTCACTCTTAATAACTAGTCTTTTCAATTTATATATGTTTCTATTTTCCTTTTTTTTTTGTTTTTTGAATATGCTGATGTTTATGTCGTTTGTCGACCTTATAATGATATATGCGTCTATTTTCTCGGGGACAAATACACTTATCGACCCCCCCCCCCTCATCTATTGACTTAATGCGACTAATTAGACCCTGGGGAGTTCATTAAACGTATTCCCAAAGGTCCCAGATCAATAGTTTAAGAGATAACCTAATTTTAAAAACTTGAAAATAGATGACACCAGAGTCGAATCAACCGGAGGAGAAAAATATCCAAACAATATCACAGGAAGGAAAATATCTAAATGAGTAAAACGAAAGAAAAAAAGATATATGTTTGTCGTATGTGTCATCTGTGGGTGAGTATGGGTATGGGTATGGGTGTGGGTGTCGGTGAGTGTGGATGTATGGGTGTGGGTGGGTGTGGCTGTACTTCAAGAAAAGATTAACATACCCACACACCCGCACTCACACCCACACCCCACACCCACATGGCCGACCATGAGTGGGGACCTGGTGATTTTTAATTATTTAACTGTTTATTTGATACACTTCTTACATTTTATTTCAAAAAATAAACCTTTTATGCAATTTTAAACTCAAGTCTAATTCTTCACATGTATCTCCTAAACTATCGGTCTAGGACCTTTGGGAATACTTTTAATGAACTTCCCAGGATCTAATTAGTCGAATTAAGTCAATAGATGAGGGGGGAGGGGGGTCGATAAGTGTATTTGTCCCACATTTCTTTCAGTCTAACATTTTCGCGTTATTCATTATCAGTGCATTCGTCAGGTCATTCTTTTTGTCACAATGTTCAATAAACATGTTTTATTATGTAGGATCCTCTCTGAGAAAGATTGATGAGCTTCTCTCTCTTTCATTTTTCTATCTCGTTCTTTTTCTTTTTCTATTTCTCTTTGTTTTTTCTTGTTTTTCTCTAATATGTTGAACGTCTATGTTCTTTTTTTCCTTAGGGATCAAACACACTAGAAAAAATAAAACTGAAGTAAGCAACATGATTGGTTAATTCAGATTTAATTATATTTTTGAGGCAAATTAGTAGTTAATTTAGTTTTATTTTTTTGCTAGTGTATTTGACGCCTTATGGATTAGTGTATAATTATCTTTTTGTACTGCTCTTAATATACCATCTCATGTATCTCGCCTTCTATTCTATACTTGTGAATAAACATATTAAATAGTACAATAAATATTTATGCAAAAAAAATCACTTGGATCGCTCGGTATATATTATCTTATCAACAACGAAATTTGAAACAATTTTCAAACAGCCACCTTCATAGATTTCTGCTCGGTTTGCTAAAATTTCACCGATCTAAGAGTGTTTTATAACCGATCGGACCGGTTCGTTTTGTTTTTTTCTTACCAATTCCGATCCTGATTCGAAATCTCACTCATAAATTATCAAATTCTTCCATTGAATTTATTTGATTAAACTCAAAAACTAAATATTCTAAAAATGTAAGAAGCAGAGACTATAGTTGAATTGATGAAATCTAGAGATTTTTAAAAGTACAATTTAAAGTGTTTTGGCACCAGAACCGAGATAGAAGGTTGAAGTTAGATGTTCTACTGTGTTTGAGTCAGTTGTTTTATATATAATATCAATCACAACATAACTCATGAGAGAATACAAATATTGTGACATTCGTTGAGTTGATATATGGGAGAAGCAAAATCTTGAGAATCTATTAGAACTTGTGTATATATTTTTTAAAGTAATTTTTGTGTAGGTTGAAATTATAATGAAAGTTGTGACGACGCTGAGAAAAGAAATAAATGTGATTGGAACGAAAACAACTTGTGGTCTTGAAAATCTCGAGGTAGACATTCAAAAATTGTGGAACATCAGATCGAGCTAGATTAGAAGATCATGTCCACTTAATCATTAATTTGATCAAATTATTTTGAGATTTGTATAGAAAAAGTCGATTCTCTTTATCTTTTCAATGGATGAACAAGAAATTTTCTTTACACTGATACATTTGCTGAATATGTGATCATAGGTGAAATCTTAATCATAGAACACCGACAAAAAGATTCATTTATTTCTCAAATCAGTTGAAATCAGATTAAAGACGATTCCGATGAGGTCAAAAGAAAAATAATATGCGACAATCTCTGGAAAGAAGATCATTTAGAGTTTATATTTATTTCAATTCGAATATCCTTGTAATGTTTTGAAATGTCAATATCGAATAAAAATTGTCGAAATTCTCAATTGATGATTATAGAAAGAGAAAAATATGAAGCTAAAAATAAACATAATAATTATCTTATATCATTCTTCTTTTAGTCATAAAATTGGCTAACATTAGAAAATATCTATGAATTACAAGAACAATGAATATATTGTTTTTGATTCTCTCAAAGTAATCATAGTTTCATGAAGAATTTAAATGAATGAAGCTGAATGAAAAAGTTTAAATGTTTTTTGTATCTTCAACGCTAGCTCACTGTTTGTTTCTTTCCTTATCCATACAATACACATAGATCGATATAATTTGTCGAACTCTGTAAATAGAAGGGACTATTTTTTGTTCCAATCGATCACTAACAATCATTATTAGTCGCTCTTTTTGTGATCGTTGTTCAATACATGTTTGACATTGTTCTACATTTTGAAACTTCTTCAGACGATTAATAATAGAACGTAATTTTTGTTCTGTATCTCGATTATCTTTGGCGTTGATATTGTCATCAAGCCAGATAAGACAGAAAATTTCAAGTTGTTCATCGTCGACATTTGTATGAAAGTCATCAATAGATAGAGATAGAGCAGACTTGGCCATGTTAATTAAAAAGGCTGAATAGGATAGAAGTTTTAGATGTTGTCATTTTGATTCAGGTATCAAATGTATGAGTGTTTTTTACGATCTAAAACGAATGTTATACGCTCACTTTTTATTATTTTATTTATTAATTAGTATTTATGATTTCATGAAAGAGGATAGAAGAACAAGATATTCCTATTCGTCGAAGAAAATGACATTTCTCTAGTCCTTAGCTTTTGTAGGCATGATCATCGAACCAAGGTGTAAAATTTTAGCATGAATCGAAATTATTTGTATGTTTTTCGTTTAGTCATCTAACAGATTATAAATCAGACGATATCATCGCTCACTAAGTTGGGTCCTGACAGTTAGTAGTGTGTTGATTTTTAATTTCAATCAGTATGAATCTTAGTGCTCATTTTTCTCTTTAGAAAATTCCTACAGTAAACATGATTGAATCTATCGAATTGAGTTGTACATTGAAAAAATATTATTTCTTATCTGATTAAAAGGGTTCTAACATTTAACAGAGTTCTATAAACTAACACCAAAAGAAATAGTAAGTTCAATTTTATCACAAAAAGTTATCATGTGCATTTAATTATGCAAATATACAATAGAAAAATGAGAATTGTAGTCTTTATTTTCTAAATATTATTAGAGATTTTCTATCGAGATTGCTGCCAAGAGGGTAGCAGACATTTTTTTTCTTGGAACCTTTTCTGAAGTTGAAATGATTAATGTTCATTATATCTGAATGGAGGAATCGTTCTGTTCACATGCGATGTATACTTCAAAGAAGAAGGAATCTTTCTGTAGATACGAAGTTAGTTCTTTCGATCATGTTGATTTTCAATCTTCGATGTATGAAATCAACAACAAGCATTTCAGTTAGTATTAACTGGTCGAATAAGGATAATACATTGGCAGAATTCACGTTATTTGTAAGGAAAAATTAGCGAATAGACCATTGATACTTATAAAAGATTCTAAGGAAATCTATTGTTATTTTGAAAAAATTGGGATATATTTCGAGCAGAAAGGAAAACTATTTTTTTGCGTTGAAAATGATCGACATTTACCTTTTTCTTCTACTGTATCTCGACTTGAGACTGTAGGCATTGCTCCTTAATTCCAGATGACACAAACGAAAAGAAAGAGTTCTTTATTCGATGTACACATTATTGGGCAAGTTCATTATTTCTCTCTATGTCCATTGATCTCTTTTAAGAAAATTTGTTGAAGAGAAGAAAAATCTCTATGTAAATGAAATATATTTCTGATAATTAAAAGAAATAAAGACCTATTCATATTAAACGAAATTATAAATGATTTTATAGTTGTTGTAGTTAGAAAGAAAGAGAACAGCTCAAATAGAGAAGTTTTTCAAAAACAAAAGCTTTTATAGGCGTAGAAATTTCATTAAAACAACATTTATAGAAATTTCAACGCATTTAAACGCGCTAAGGATGGATGAAGCTGTTAAAATGTGTATTTTTTTCTCGAGTTACGTGCTTTTACGAGTTTCTCTGGTCGTTTCTACCAGTTTTATTCCGTTCATGGTTTCATACGTGCTTGAATGCAAGAATTTCGATTGAAACACATGGTCTTATGCGTTGATTTTTAGAGCTCGTTTTACTGATTAAACTTTAAATTATTATTTCTTTTTTGAAGCTAGATTTATCGTGCCTTTACGGATTTATTATTTAAAAGATTCTAGAAGCCGAAATTTTTGTAGATTCTTAGTACATTCACTTTCAAATAACTGATATGTTTAGCTAATTATTATACAACTAATTAATCTCTCACTTTTTGTCATAATTATTTTCGAAAATTAGAGAAAATCTAGCAAGTCTTACAAATGACATCTCAAGTATCTTTTGGTATTTAAGAATCAAATATGATAGTTTTATTTTCACAGTTGACTGATGTAATGTGATGTTGCAATACGATTTTTAGAGGTTAATTTCGATTCTATTGAGAATAATGAGCATGTTTTGTATACTTTTAAAAATTTTTCTCATGTAGTTAAAGTTGTCACGATCAATGATCGGAAATGACAATACAATTTTAATTATTTAATGCAACAATAGAAAGACAAAAACGATCGAGTGTATAATTCAAGAGAGAACATCAATAGTAAAAAGTGCAAGACAGAG